TGCAAGACCAGGTTAGACAAGTTTGGATTTTAATTTTAATTGCAAGGGGAAACCATTGGAGGGTTTTAAATGAGGGAATTATGTGATCTGATTCATGCTTTGATTGAAGAATTTTTCTTTTTGTGTGTCCAAAATATGGGTAGTAACAAATATGATTACAGTGTACTAAATGTGGTCCCAAAATAAGTTGCTAGGAAGACTCCCTGCATGCTTTTATGTCTAAATTGAAAGTATTCTATTTTGAAAGAATGTTGGAAAGAAAATTAAAAACCTGCTGTGGCTCACTTCCAAGCCTGATGTATATTCTGAACTGCAGAATAACGATGTGCCTTAGCTTATCATCAGGAGCTTTACCAGTTCATCTCCCAGCTAGGGCTGCAAGATCCTCATTATCACCATGGAACCCTAGCATGCAGTCACAAGACCTGCAAATTGATAAGTGACAGGGGCTGGACAGAAGCAACTGCAAAACAACCAACCCAGAATGATGAGTATACAGGGAAATAGAAAAGCAAAACTGCACACCATCAACACAAAAAGTTCTTAGTCAAGATTCTAAAATGTGAATAAATATAATATTAGGGAGGGAAAAAGCATTCAATAGATTATTAAATCACTCCAGATGCTTGTTTATTTATGATTGTTAAGCATATCAATGAGAAAAAGACTCATAAAATAGAACATTAAGTATTAAATGTTAAATGAACCAAGAATGGTTGTACATGACGCACTACCACATTAGAAACCCAGAAATTAAAAAGAAAGAGTTTTCTAGAATGTGATAAGACATAGCTGAAAAGAAATACTTGGTTAATTATTACCTTAGTTTGTTTTGTATTGCTAAAATAGACTATGACAGAGTGAGTGTTTTATAAAGAAATTTATTCCTCATAGTTCTGGAGGCTGGGAATTCCAGGATCAGGGTTCCTGCATATCTGTGTGTAGTAAGGACCTTCTTCCTGTTTCATGAATGGCACCTTCTACCTGTGACCTCACACAGTGGAAGGGATAAGGCAGCTCTCTGGGCTTCCTTTATAAAAGCACTAATCCTATCCCTGAGGGTTTTATCATCCTCATGGCCTAATCACCTCCCCAAAGCCTCCACACCCACTTCATAACATTATCATCTTGGGAGGTAGGATTTCAATATATGAATGGGGAGGGGGTCACAAACATTCAGACCACAGCACTGGGAAGCTAGCTAGAAATGTTTGCAATAGTCCAGACAGGAGATGATGGTATCTTGACCTCTTATGTATTTCAAAGCCACAGCTTATTGTTTTGTAGAAAATCTGACAGCATTTGCTTATGAGTTGCGTTTTAGGGGAGGGTAGTGAGGAAGAGGGTTCTCAAGGGTACTGCTGAAGTCTAACCCTGGACATGGCACCATTAAAATAATTAGGGAAGACCGAGAGAGGAACAATTTGGGGGTGAGGTTGGAAAAGTATCCACAGTTCCACTTTGAACATATACAAATAGCCAAGCCTACTTCCATTTAAGCGGACATGTGGAGTAGGCATAGGGGAGAACCTACAACTAAAATTTTTGATTTGCCACAAGGACTTTGTTTCTTTCTGACAATTGTGGCTTTGAAAAATTACATTAGGTTTGTGGAAAAATTTTAGTAATTCACAGAATGGAAAGTATTGTGAAGAATGCAGTCCCTCAGTTTGGCACATCCTTAAGAGTCAATAATCCACATGGTTAGTTATCTAGTTATAAAAGAATTCTGAAAAAGACCGAACAATAAAAGGTTATAACTAATCTGATTACAGCATAACTGGCTGGTTAAAACATAGAATTTGACAGAAATAAGAGAAGGTTGAACCTAAGAAATCATGCAAAAGACTATAAAACTAAATTTAAAACTTTAGTTATCCATAGTAACAAGGATTATTCTAAGTCAATGGAATTCTTAGCCACACTAATTTAAATTTCTCCTAAATACCAACTTCAATTCAATGCTTTAAATATTTGTTGAAACTTAAATTCACAGATGGTACTATTCTAAGCAAGATGGGTACAATCTGAGTTAATATGAAATTCTTTAATATTTTATTGAATTGCATTTAAATAAGAAATACAAATTTTTAAATGTGTTTCTCTAATAAAGTGAAAATTCCATGTCATCACTGAAATAAGCCACAATGAAACCAAAGGTCTAATAGTATAGATTTTTCTTCTTAAGGGCAAAAGTCAGTAGAAAAGTCCTTGGAAGGAACTATTTGGCTCTGTGATAAGTAATAGGTACTCTATAGATTCCCCTCTATTGTCTAGCTTCAACACATTGCTTAGGAGCTATGTTCAATTATAGCCTTTCGACTCAGAAATCAAAAGATTTAGGGAAAACAGGTTTCCAGGGTCAGTCACCAAACTGTAGATAACTATTGTGGAATGTCGGTCCCTAACTTGAATCCTGGGCTAGCACCCTCCCTCCAGTAAGGTGAGAGTTTAAGGCCCACTCTCAGCAGGCCTAGGCAAGAGGCAAAAATATCTTCCATTGGTTCTGCAAGCAGAGAGGAGTTGTTACAAGAATAGGGGAGATAACCCAAATTTGGGCTTGTTCTCCAGTTATGTTCAGGGCATGGTGCTCAGTAGGAGCTTAGTGAATATTGCACTGAATGAAAATAAACCAGTTCCAGCCCCTGTATAGCCTCAGTTGGGCAACTTCATCTCTCTGAACCTTTGTTGTTTTATTGTAGAAATAAGATCTACATCATAGGGTGGTTTCACCTTTTTTGTTAGCCTTCAATGGTAGGTAGGTGATCTTAACCAGAAAAAATACATTTTTTCCCTTTTGAGATTCAATAAGGTTGTTTTTGTTTAGAATTTTTTAAGTTATACATACAAAAAAAAGTTGTTCATCATATGTCTGGATCATTTGAAAGACTCTAGAATTAAAAGGTTAGACCAAACCAATGGCTTTTCAAATGTCATTATCCAATAGCTCTGTGGTCTCAAACCATTCACAATTGTAAACAAGTGACATATTGGCTTAGGTTGGGTCCAAACAACCACTGATCCTAACAGGCCCTTCTGGGTCCCAGATTTTCCTTCCCATGTTATTTTATTCCATTGGGGATAGTAAAGGATCATTAATTTGGAGAAATGGTTCTCAGCTCTGACTGCACAATAGAATTATCTGGCAAGAATGAGCTAGGAAGTCATTTTTGAAAACATAGTACTTGAGACCCACCTTCCACAATTTCTGATTTGTCAAGTTTAGGTTTTTGCCTGGACATCAGCACCTTCCCAGTCTCCCCAGGTGATTTCAACATGCATCCAAGGTTGACACCACCAAGTAAGAGAATGAAATCTGGGCCCCAGTAGTGTTTTGACTACACACTAGCACACTGTTGTCCCCGCCAGAGCCTTCATGGTAGGCAAAAATACCCATTGCAATTCTAAGTACAGCTGACCACACACAGCCTACCTCACACTAGCAATCACTGCAACAGGAGGGATGACTACTTCAGTGCACGCTCTCTGGCTTTTTAAACCCAGGCCTAATTTCTCAACATAGGCGGCAAGTGAAAGACAAGAGACTCTCCTGAAGAATTTTTTTTTTTTTTTTTTTGGTACCAGAAATTGAACCCAGGAGCATTTAATCACTGAGCCACATCCCCAGCCCTTTTTATTTTTTGAGACAGGGTCTGACTAAGATGCTGAGGCTAGCTTTGAATTTACAATCCTCCTGTCTCAGCCTCCCAAGCTGCTGGGATTATAAGCATGCACCATGGCACCCAGCTCCCTAAATCAGCCCCAAAACAGAGAAGTGATAAGTAGATATATTAAATAGCTAGGGTTATATCTGACTGGAAGTGGTAGAAAACTCAAGAGAAGAATGGCTTCTGTAAGGTGGAAAGTATTTCTTTCTCACAAACACAGGCAGTCCAAGGCTGATGTGGTAGCGTCACCGTCAGAGGCCAGGCTTCTTTCATCTTGCCGATCATAAGAAGAAAACTGCAATTTCAGACACTGTGTGAACACTCCAGCCTGCAAGGAAGAGAGAGGGAAGGGATCTCTCTTTGCAGGCTCTCTTTGCACACACTTCCCTGATGGTACTTACAGCCAATTGTTTGTATCCCATGGACAAGCATTTAGTCAAATGGCCATGTCTACCTTCCAGGGAGGTTGGCCCAAAATAGCCTATGCTGAAAGCCACGCACCCAGCTGAGGATGGGGGCTCTTTTGCTCTTGAAACAGAAGGAATAGATATTTGGAAATGGCCAACAGTCTATGCCTCAGGGGTCCCCTCTCCCACCTCATGCAGCTGGATTAGAACTATTAAGTTACGTGTAAACAATGTGTTTTACTGGGGTCCCCCAAAAATCACTGACAGGAGGCTATTTTTCTTACATTCTGAATTTCAGCAGCTCTGGCTCCCACTGCCCTAAGAAATCACCAATCCAACAAAAAAATAAGCAGTTGTTCAGAAAACCAGCCCCTAAATCCAATGCCTGCCCAGTGTGGCAGAGTGAGTGCTCACACTCAGAGGGAAAGGACTCTCCTCCCTGCAAATTTCTGCAAATTGATACTGATGGCAGGAGAGCTTGCTCTTATTTATCCTGGAAGCAGCACAAATTATTTTCATGGGGTCGTAAATATGTTGAACACTCTGTTATACTAACCTCTTAAACCAGTTGTCTTGAGCAGCTACAAATCATAGTTCAGGAGCAACTTTCTAAGATTCCAAGGCCCCTGACATTCCTGGATGCTCAAGCTAAATACCTGGGATTAAGAGTGAAGGGTATGTAGATTTTGCTACAAAATTCATTTCAAAGAGAGGGAGAAAAAGTCCTTTGGCCTGATGCCTAGTTTGTCATAGTCATTTTGTTGTTGTTGTTGTTGTTGTTTGTTTGTTTGTTTGTTTTTCAATTTTATTTTATTTATTTATTTTTAGTTTTTAATTTTTATACTCTTTACTCAGCCAAGGCTCAGGTGACAATTGGTGGTCAAACTACCTTCCTGCATTGAATTTCTCTTTCGTCCCTCCCCAGTGTTCCAGGACCTGTGGTGGAGGTGTTCAGAAACGTGAGGTTCTTTGCAAACAGCGCATGGCTGATGGTAGCTTCCTGGAGCTTCCAGAGACCTTCTGTTCGGCCTCCAAACCGACTTCCCAGCAAGCCTGCAAGAAAGAGGACTGCCCCAGTGAGTGGCTCCTCTCAGACTGGACAGAGGTATGATGTCCCCTAGATGGAGAGAACAAGAGGCATGAGTAGGAAAAGTGACCCCAAACACATACATGGGAAAGACAAGAGAACCAAACAATTCTCTGAACACTACAGGGCAGTATTTTGTAACTATTTATACCATAGTATGTAACTAGCTTTTAACTAGGCTACAGGGACCTGTGCTATGTGGCCAGCCCTTACCCGACATTCGGAAGCTGAGGATTGTAAATGGGCTCCTCTTGGAACAAGACCAGAACACGGGGTTCTTCTCCCTAGAGCTCTACTCCCTCCCCCTCCTCCTGACCTCCCGGCACCTCCTACTCCCAGATGTTTCTAGTCTCTGCTCAGGGAGGGCAAAGCCTCTCTAGTTCTTCTCTTCCAAGTTACTGGACAATAAAGGATATGATTTATTAGGAAAAGAAGGCCAAGGAAATCCTGCCTTTTTACTGTTAGTTTCCTGGCTCTTAAGCTTCAACAACTTCCCAGCAAGAGAATTTGAGTTGCCCTGTTGCCCTACATTTGGGGCAGCAATTGCCTCAGTATTCACCACTCCCCGCTTCCCCTCCCACATTAGCATGTACCTCCAACTCACCTATTTTTCTAAATAATTCCTGTTCTACCATCAGCATGAATTAATTCATTTACATGCAGTTTCAACACATTTGTTCTCAGCCCCTGTGACTTCTTTGAGTTGCCTTGACTCCTGCAGCTCAATAGCTCTATGTCTTCCCTAGTGAAGATCCCAACATTACGGGATCACAAGCAAATTAAACCAAAACCAGGATCAGTAGGCTGGAAGTGAGAAAACTCATTGTTTAAAAACAGATTCAAGATCTTCTCCTTTCTCCCATAAGCATTTGAATTGGCCTCCTCCACGCTTGGCCTATTTTATATGGAGCTGCTGATAGTTGAAATACACAGAGACATTTGCTTTCAGAGGGGAAAACTGCCTATGAGAATTAAGATACCAGCTCACTTAACATAGGTCCTGAGAATTCTTGCCCCACACAGTATCAACCTGTTCAGAGTCTAAGGACATCACAATTGAGAGCAACCTACATTACCACAGGTTTTACTGTTTGAAAGAAAAATTATCTCTGGCAGTATCACACTCCAGATGTCCCAGAACAATAAATGATAAAACAAATAAATGATAATTTATTTTTGTATTTAGAAACAATTTGATTTCAGCAGGATGCATACTTAAAAGTGTAGAGAAGATGGACATGTATATACTCAAGTATGTGTCCATGCTCACACATGGACATCTGAGCGACCATTCTTCCATGGGAACATTGATTTGGAGTATGACATATGCATGAAAAAAAAATATAATAGAAACAGCAACTCAGGAAAGATCCCTGATGTATTTGCCAAGTGGCTCTAGGCAAGGACATCTCTCAGTGGAGTACTGTAAATGTATTCCTCTCCTAAGTCTATGAGAAAATAACCTGTCATGAGTGGTATTCCAAGGAAAGGATTCATGTGTGTCATCATTATCCTCTCATCTTCCTGCATTTGATAGTCTTTAGAGGATATAGTACCCAGAAAATTCAGAAAAAGAGTTCTCTTATGTCTGCAGTTTTAAGAGAGAGACACACTCATGATTAGGCACTAAAGGAATACCACTGAAGTGAGGTCCCATTTAATAATGCAGGACTTTAGAAAGGTGTTGTTGGTATTTAGGAGTTAGACTCAAGGCAAGCAAACCAAGCTTTAAATCCTGAGTGCTTATTACTGGTTGTATAACCTTGAGCTAATTAACCTTCTGGGTCTTTATTTCCTTGTCTATAAACTGGAGATATAATATTATCCACATACAAGTGGGAGGCGTAAATTAACTGAAGCATATAAAGTACATCATGCCTAGTAAAAGTTACCTCTTATTATGATGATGATTCTCTTCCAGCTGGGCTCATTGTCAGGAGAGGAAATTATAGGAAGCACCAGCATTGATTGACTGGACTCAGGGCCACAGCCCAGGTCTCCCACGGGCTTTGCTGGTTTTCTGAGGAGGAAAAGATTATGCTTGGAGAACCAGGAGGAATTACCCAGAGAGTCTAACTAGGTTCTGTGCTATCTGGGTTGGTGAGCAGAAATTCTGAACACTGGGAAGGGGCCTGGAATGGTGGGAAGCAATCACCAAATCACTGGGGTTACTCTCAAGTTGTGCCTGGGAAATGTGCTTCTGGAAGCACTCACAAAGGCCCACTCTGCCATCCCCAGGGCCATTCTGTGGTCCCTTGCTGAGATGAGATGCTCATTCCATACCCCCCACACACACACACACACACAATGCCTTTTGGATAAAAGAGAACTGGATGATCTATGGGTGTTTTGTCCTTAGCTCTCTGGACTCAATCTCATGGTTATTGCATCAAATTCCTCAGAGACAGAAGTAAGCCAAAGTTTTAGACATTTCAAAAAAAAAAAAAAATTACGTACAGATTCTATTTTGAAAGGAAGACCTCTCAAAAGACTATCCTTCTCTTTAAAAGAAACCCTTGAATCTCCTGAAAGAGTTAGCTGCTAGATATTTTTAAATCATATTTTTATGGAACTTGTCCCCATCCCCCAAAATAAAAGAAATTAAAGTCAGGGTAGTCCATTTGAGAATGAGAAGGAACTTGGAAGATCCTGTAATCTAATTTATCTCTTTTGAAATTAAAGCCTCAGGAGCCTTTTAACAAGTGAAATGTTACTATGAAGTCCAAATTCTAAAACAGATAGAATGAGAGCCACTTCAAATGAAGCATAGATGGAACCTTCAGATTTCCAGTGCTTGGATCTCCCCATCCCCTGAATCACTCCCCATTGTAGTTATGCAAGCTAAGCCCTGCTGTGGCTTAGCTTCCCCATTTCAAAGATGTGGAGACTGAAGCTAGAAAAAGCCCTAGACTGACCCAAATCATAATGCAATCTTCTGATCTGCAGGCAAACTATTTTTCCGTGTTTTTACTTGGGCAGCACTAAAATGACCATGATTTTAAAACATTCAGCCACCTTTCCCCCATCCCACCTGACCCTTGGATTCAGTACTTTTATTTACAATAAAATAAGTGATGGGTGGAATCTGTAATCCACAATTGTTAGTAACAAAAGCAGCACTGTTTGATTCTCCTCTCCGTCTTTTGCCTCTTAAATTTCTTTCTGAGTGGCCTATGTCGCAGTACTTTGCACAGATTAGTGTCATTTCAGTGTGCTAGCATATAAAACTTGAAAATATAAGGTAACTCTGTTGGGTTTTACCGTCATTTTTCAAGTTCACATGGCACACTGCCATGACCCCAGTTCAGGCCTTCATCATCTCAGCCTGGTCCGTGTGCGACTCCTTCACTGACATCCTTGCCTCCCATCTTTCTGCACACTGTTGCCAGATTCACCTTCTCAAAACACCTCTTTCATCATGTCACTCCCCTCCTCAATGGCTTCCCATTGCCCTGTGGACCAATTCCAAACCTTCTGTCTGAAAATTAAATAAGTCTCCAAAGTCTGGCCCTAAACTACCTGTCAAGCTGCTCAATGCTCTTGGGGTAGCTCCTCTGTTCAAACAGGTTTGGTTCTGCCCCTAAGCCTGCCCTGGCCTTCTACCCTGAATTCTTCTGCCTTTATTCTGGAAATTTCCCTGCCTCCCATGCTTATCCATGTTGCGTTACACCCATCTTCAAGTTCTAGGTCAGGACATCCCTAGTGGACCATAAGCATTTGATAATTGTTAGCATTAATTTTATAATACTTCATTTGTTTTTCTAATTATGAATTCTTATCAAATAGTTTACTATTTAATCCTATAGACAACTTTATTGATATATAATTTATGTATTACATGTAGCACATGTAAGAACTGTATTCCTTTTTTAAGACTGAATAATATTTCATAGTATAAAGGTACCAGATTTTGTTTATTCATTTACCAATTGATGGACATTGGGTTGTTTTCACTTTGGAGCCATTACAAATACAGGAACGTTTGCATAAGTTTTTATGTGAATATATATTTTCACCACTCTTGGGTAGACACCTAGGAATAAAATTTCTGGGTCCTACGTTAAATGAACTTTTCAATAAACTATTAAACTGCTTTCTTGGGGAGCTGTAGGAAGCTGTTTCATCTTACATTCTCAGCAGAACTTCATTTGTTTGCTAATGAAAAGGGTTCACATTTTCCTACCACTTGCCAAAACTTACCATTTTCTGTCTTTTTTAATATGGTTATACTAGTGAATACAAAATGATATGACATTGTCATTTTGATTTGCATTTCCCTACTATACTATTTCTTTTTAACAATACATTTGACCCCCACACATACCTTTCATTTGAATGACCCCTCCTTGAAACTAGCAACTGTCTTTCACTTTCTTCAAACAAAGCAGGTTTTTCATAACAATTGTCTGATGGTAGGCATCAAAATATTAGTTATCTATGAAGGAAGGAGAAGGGTATCCACATTAACATTATTTTGTGTAAGGCATTTTTAAATATATTATCTCATTTAATTTACAGGCTTCTAAATTAAATGTAAGAAATAGAAACCACCTTAGAGATATTAAATCCCTTGCTTTCTAATAAAATGCTGAGCTGGGATTTGAACATGGTACTCTATACTCTTTCCTCTAAAGTCATATAAATAAAAACAGGTAAAATACCAGTAGGAAATTTTAGAGTGGAAAATACTAGCGTGGAATGTGTCTACAAGATCTCATGTATTCCACATTGTTATTTCATAATTAATATTTCTCTCTCTTTCAGTGGCTGTCGCTTTTCCAAGCCACTTTTCTCATATTTTGGTGAGTTTGAGAGTCCATACAAAAAACATTAGCCTATAGTTCCCTGAATTTTTATGCATTTGGCCTCTTTCTTTCCTCACCAGTGTTCCACGAGCTGCGGGGAGGGTACCCAGACTCGAAGTGCCATTTGCCGAAAGGTGCTGAAAACCGGGGTCTCCACAGTTGTCAATTCCACCCTGTGCCCTCCCCTGCCTTTCTCTTCCTCCATCAGGCCCTGCATGCTGGCAACCTGTGCAAGTGAGTATGTCAGAGCTCTGGGATGGAGACAGAACCCCACTTAGTAGCAGCCACTGTGCAGGGGCCTTCCCTAAACCAAGACCAGTGGCAGATTGTTGGGCAGCAGAGCCTTTGGAGGGCTGCAGGCTGGAGAGCTCAGCTGGAGGTGGAAAAGGAATCTTAATCACATGTGGCCAGGAAAAGCAGTTTGCAGGGGGGAAAGTTCACTCACTGGCATACAGAGATCTGGAAGCTAGAGGCAGCATATTACTAATGAAGTCCAATGTTATCCACTCTGGGGTTTTAAACTACTCTGAGCAGATTTGTTCTGTTCAATATTAATCCCTAGAGTTGTAAAGCTTCTGGACTCTCCTCACTGTAATTTAGGGCGCTGGCACTTTGCGGGACCTTAAGTAGACATTTAGTAGAAAATATTCCCCTTCTCTATCCTCTGCCTCTTTTTATGATACTGATTTCTTCTTTCAAATGCTTTTAATGAGAGGAACTGCCTTTTCCCCGGGGGCTCTGTTCCACCTAGAACCCTGCACCTCAGCTTCCAGGCCAGAAAGACCCAGTAGGGTGCTGCTTGGGGTGCCACAGCCCCTCGTTAGTTCTCTGTTTAGGGGTAGAGGTAACTTGATGGTCCACAGCTGGTAGCCAGCTTCTCTGCTAAGCCATGAGGTGTTTGTTAATGGTGGTCCTCGTTGAAATCGCTGCCTAAGAGCTCTTTCCTTTTTGTCCCATTTGTCCCCTCTCACGGCTGCATCTCACTGCGGTTCTTCTCTGCCCTTGTCTTCTCTTCCTCGGTCTCTCTGGCATCCCTCTCATGCCAGGGCCTGGGCGGCCATCCACAAAGCACAGCCCTCACATCGCAGCTGCGCGGAACGTTTACATCCAGACTCGCCGGCAGAGGAAGCTGCACTTCGTCGTGGGTGGGTTTGCTTATCTGCTTCCGAAGACGGCCGTGGTGCTCCGGTGCCCCACGCGCAGGTTCCGCAAGCCCCTCATCACCTGGGAGAAAGATGGCCAGCATCTCATCAGCTCCGCCCACATCACAGTGGCACCTTTTGGCTACCTGAAGATCCATCGTCTCAGGCCCTCAGATGCGGGCATCTACACCTGCTCTGCAGGACCCGCCCGGGAGCAGTTTGTGATTAAGCTCATTGGAGGCAATCATAAGCTTGTGGCCCGGCCCCTGAGCCTGCGGAGTGAGGAGGAGGCCCTGGCAGTGAGGAAGGTCAGCCCCAAGGAGGCCCTGCAGACCCATAAGCACCAGAACGGGATCTTCGCCAACGGCAGCAAGGCTGAGAAGCGGGGCCTCCCTGCTGACCCAGGGAGCCGCTACGACGACATTGTCTCCCGGCTGCTGGAGCAGGGGGGCTGGCCCGGAGAGCTCCTGACTTCCTGGGAGGTGCAGGACTCCATGGAAAGAAACACGTCCTCAGAGGAGGACCCGAATGCCGAGCAGGCCCTTCTGCACCTGCCCTTCACCATGGTGACTGAGCAGAAGCGCCTGGACGACATCCTCAGGAACCTCTCCCAGCAGCCCGAGGAGCTGCGCGACCTCTACGGCAAGCACCTGGTGGCCCAGCTGGCCCAGGACATCTTCCGTAGCCACCTTGAGCACCAGGACATGCTCCTCAAGCCCTCTGAGCAGAGGTTTCCCCCTGTGGCCATCCCTCCTCATAAACACGTGTCTGGCTTCAGCAGCTCCCTAAGGACCTCCTCCGGGGAGGCTGGGGGCGGCTCTCGCCGGCCACACCGCAAGCCCACCATCCTACGGAAGATCTCGGCTGCCCAGCAGCTCTCCGCCTCCGAGGTGGTCACTCACCTTGGGCAGACTGTGGCGCTGGCCAGCGGGACACTGAGTGTGCTGCTACACTGTGAGGCCATAGGCAACCCAAGGCCTACCATCAGCTGGGCCAGGAACGGGGAAGAGGTTCAGTTCAGTGACAGGTGAGCTACTTGGTGGAAGACGGGATGGGAAGAAGTGAGGGGAGGCCAGGGACCACATCTTGCCCAAACCAGGCTGTTCACACATCCTCTGAGGTGTTTCCAAGGGTGGGGCTAGAGCACAGGGCCTGGGAATCTCCTCCTGGGTTTCAGGCCCTCTCTGAGCACTGATGGACTGTTGGAGCAAACACAAGGTATTTAATTTCTGTACACAGTACGTTCTTATCTTTATAAGGCAAAAGCAACACTGCCTACTCACCCCTATCCCCAGAGAATCCCAAAGATGAATGAGATACTCTCTGGATGACTTTGAACTTTTGGCAGAAAGATAACATTCCAGGCCGAGGCATTATTATGTTTCTACTCTGTGAGATGAACCACTGAAAAGTTTCAACACCAGGACACACTCTCCATGTGTAGTCACACAAGGCTGGGGAGTGTGCAGCCAGCACCTGCTGCTCCCCATGAGTAAGCCTGTCCTCTCTCTGAACTAGACAAGGCTATCTATTCCAGAAAGCTTTTATTCCCAGTTGGACCTGTGATTAATTATTGTAATATCTCTTGGGGTCTACATTTTGATGTGTCCTTATTGAGGTGACAGCATCGTACCATTTACTGGTCTTCCTAGGCCACGGCCATTCATATTGTTAAAATCAACAGTGGTAGTAGAAAAATAAGAACAACATATTTTTAGCACAACCTGTGTGCCAAGCCCTGTGCCACACGTTCTACATACTTTGTTTTTCTTTTACTATCTGCAAGGACCTTAAGAATAACCATAAGCAGCTGCTATTATAACTGAGTAGTTACTATCTACCAGGAAATCTCCAAGGTCCCTTCTACCTCCTCCACCCATTTACAAACAGCCACAGAAGGCTAAAACCCATATGTTGATGGGAATGAGGGAGGGTCTTCAGCATAGTAACTTCAGAATTTGCTATACAAATCGCTTCTGAGTATCCCACAAACCAAGGGTCCAACGATGACATGAGTTTGAGAAGTGCTCAGTTAAAGCTAAACAGATGTATTTACTGCTGCATTTTATTTCTATTTTTTAATATAGCACTTGATTTTTATTATAAAGGTAATAAAAGGGCTATCAAATGATATCCAAATCTATAAAGTAAAAACAGCAAGTCTCCCACATCCCTCCAATCCTATTCCTCAGGGCAACCACTCTTAATAATTTGATATACGTCCTTTTAGAATTTTTATGTGTTTTATTGTATTATATAAAAATGTATATGCACACATAGGATTCGGATTTTTTAATGGGATATTAGTCATGTTCAGAAATTTGACTCGGTTTTTATTTCACATGTCTAGGAGACGTCATAATAGTAGTAGAGATCTCTGTCACCTTTTTAACCACTGATTATTGTTCCTGAATACATTTAACTATCCCCCATCTGAAAATTATCTTGATTTTTTTTCCATTTTTTTAAACTTTTTAAAGCATTCCAGTGTGTGTTGTGACTTTCTAAGTAGACAATAGAGAATGCAGTGTTTCCAAACTTATCCTTTGATCACTGAACAATTTTTTGGCTTAGTAATCTCAAGAACACCAATAATTCCAGAAGCATTTAGAAAGCACTGCCTTAGCCTTTTAGTTTGTACCTTGATGGGCACTGAGAGTCCAACCCTAACCCTAAGGTAGAGAAGGTGCAGCAGCATCTTTCTGGGAAAAGCAACATGGCAGCCAGCTGCTAAAGATACTAAAGTGTTGAACCTAAAACAACAGAGGGCACACCTTGGATCCCCAGTCACCCAGAATATTAATTGGGTGTTGGTGTAGCATTAGAGGGAAGGCATCTGGGGTCCAGAGACAAATAATTTTTGACATCATCAAGATTTCTTTTTCTAGATTTAGCCTTGAAAACACATTTCAATGTACATTAGTTGCATGCAGTTAGGAAAAATAAGACATTTCTGTTTTTCTGATCTTTGGCATTATAATTTTTTTCCATTTTTACTTGTGGCTGGCTGGTAAGAAATGTGAATGAAGCTTGGATTTCTATATACTTTCCCAAGTTCTGTTTGAGAAAAAAGAGTGAGAAAATCTGCTGAGAGTATGTAGGAGGCATGGGCTGCCACTGGGACTGCTTTGCTGTGGGGTCTTGGTGACCTGCTCTGTGTTGGGTGTCATTGCTTGTCATTACTGCATCTGGGAGCAGTTCAGAACTACTGATTCATTGCTAACAGAAAAGTGCCAAAATACCCAATTGTATGATTCAGTTAGCCTTATTTTTTCTTAGTGCTCAAGTCTACCTTTCTGTGAATCTGCAAGATTCAGTTGCCTGTGGGTCGGTAGGACTTTTATTAAGGTACACTATAAGTAGCCTGAACTAACAGGAGAAGTTCAAGGTAGAAAGCAAGTGATTGAGAGAATCCTACCATTTCTCCAACTTTGAAATATGCCAAAGCTTCATTTAAAAGAAATTGGTTTTACTAAAGGATCACTAACAATTTAGATACAACTGTGTGTGTGTGTGTGTGTGTGTGTGTGTGTGTGTGTGTGTATAATTTACTAGTTGAAATGAAGTTCACATGATGCTCAGAAGCATATGTCAACTTCTCAAGCAGTGGTTTCCTGAGTATCCCTGAGTGTATTATGACAGGCTGTTTCATCATAATCCCCACTTTCTTCTTCCTTTATTCCACAAACATTCCAATATCAGACCCTATGTTTGATTCTGGGGATAGAGGAAAAGAAGACTAATTCCTTATTGATGAAATTCAACATCTAGTTAGAAAGCCAAAAAAACAAAGGCTGTATTAGAAGTGCTGAGCGAGAGGCACGCATAATTATTTATTCCATAAGTATGTATTAATCTTCCTCCTATATGCAAGCTATACATCAACTCACTGGGAACCCTGTGGTGAGTGAAGCAGGAGTGAGGGTTTTCTGGTAGTTGGCATGCATTTCAAGTTCTGCTCAAATAACCCATCAGAGAGAGCTTCCCTAATCATTCTATCAAAAAGCACACCCCTCATCACTCTTTATCCCTTCAACTCTGCTACTTTATTAGTAGAATTTATCATCATCTAATGTATAATTTACTTGCTGATTGCCTGTCCACAAGGACAGAGACTTTCTTCATTGCTGTATCCCCAGTGCTTGGAAGTCAAATAGGTCATAAATAGTCAATGAATTGATTTGTTAATTGAGCAAGACAACAAACACAGAAAAATAAGCCAGAAAATACCAGATTGGGATAAGTGGGGAGAAAATTAAAACAGAAAGGGTATAACTTGGTGACCACTTTAGATAGGTACTCTGTGAAGATTACATGTAAATCAAGTTCTGAATGATGACCAGTTTCCAGAATGTGATGTCAGGAAGAAGAGCCTGCCTGGACGAGGAAAAACCCTACAGGGAAAAGAGTTTGTGTGTTGAAGGAGCCTTAAAAGAAGGTCATCTGGCTGGAATGTGGGATGGGATGAGGCTTGAGGCTAACCAGAGTCCCAGAGAAGGAGTTGGGGTTTTAGTCTGAGTTCCAAGGGAAAATTCTGGAGGATGTTAGGCAGGGGGATTGCAGAGGAGCATGAGTAGAACCTGGGAGGCTGTGGAGGGCTCCAGGGCATTATTCCCTTCAATGCCATAAATATTTTCTGGATAATACAGTGATAAGTATAAGGAAGTGAGATGAGAAATAAGAGCACTGCTCTCCAGAAAACAAAAAACACTTGAAGTGCTCTGCATGAAACTCCAACAGGCAGAGTACTTTTCTTTAAACTTCTGGACTTTAAATAACTGGACAGAAGGAGGGTTCCCAAATTCAGTGCACATAATAATTACCAGGAACCTGTTAGTATGCAGACTCTCCCCTGGCCCCAGAATATCTTTCTGTAGTAGAAACCCATAATTTACATTTACATTTAAACAGGTTCCTCTACAGCTCCATAGCCAGAGCTCCCAGGACCACCTCTAGGAAGCACTGAAAGAGAAAAGAGAAGATGGTGAATCCCAAAGTAGAACTACATGCTAGATTTTAATCTTGTTAAAAGACTTGGTGGAGGTAGACAAGTCTCACTGCTGAAATGACCCTTGGAAATGGGGGGGGGG